ATTCTTAAGTACATTTGGTCTTGGTCGAGGAACATTATTGGTGGGAATTTATTTCATTAATCTTATAGGGACCATTTAGAATTAAGTCTTACTGTCTAACTCGTATACTTAAGTAAAAAAAAAAAAAAAAAAAAAAAAACAATCTATTTACAAAGGTACTTGACGGCAGTGCCAACAACGCAAAATGCAGTCTTCGAAAAAGTTCCTCTTTCGTGCGCGAGATTGCCGTGAAGAGGAAAATTATCTTTCTTCGTGCCTAGGGGAGGCACAAAAGAGATCATTGTACAACAGGTAGATCGCGATCGCAGTTTATCTTTTTTATACAATTATCATTCGATTATCATTTGAAATACGATTAATCGCTCGTGGCTCAAATCTCGCGTTAAATGCAAAAGAAATCACGCTACTTTCAAACTAGATGAGGCTCTCTCTCGAACTGTCTATATTCGAGATATATTTATTGTAATCTGTTAGTTGACTTGCCTCTCACCGAGAGACGATCGCAACGCTGTTTAAACCATCGAGAGAAATTCTTAAAAAGTATCAGAGCGGTACTAAATAGATTAGTTTAATAAGAGCCGGTTTATTCTCTGTCGCAACTTCAATCCTTCTCTACAGCGGGGACCTCGTCCTTGGCCTTGGAGCCTGCATCAAGCCGCGACGGAAGACAAATCGTGCCGATAGAAGGACGAAGCGACTTGATGCAGCGACCGGCCGTAAATGAAGACGTTGCTGCGTCGACTGATTAGCGTTCGAGTATATTGTTGTATCGCGTACACACTGGTATGGAAGCTGAGGCCCCACACACGTGAGTCTGGTTCGCCAGTTAACGTATCCAATCCTTGTACTTTGATATTACTTAAAGTATTTCCTTCTTTGGCGTCGATGACTTTCTTCTCTCTTTCTCTCGTCCATCGTCTCTCTTTCGCTTTCCGTTTCACCCCGGCGGGATGAAATCCTGTTGCTATGAATGGGTCGGTGTGAATAATTAGCCCACCGTCCCCTTTTCGCTTTTTCTCCTCAACGATCGCACGATCGATGCGCGAATCGAATAAATCTCTTAGCGTCTTAATTGAGGAAGCCGGCATGGAAAATACATTCGCACGGTGGACAAAGGCCCCCCCCCTAATAAAGGTTATTTATAACGAAATTAATTGGCGTGCGTTCGTTGTTTTGCCACTAATTACGCGTGATTTATCCGCGACGGTAGCGGCGCCAATTGAATGATAATGTCTCGAGTGAGGTACGTACGCGCTACCCCCCTTTAGTAGTTCCCTTTCGACGCGCGAAGACGCGAAATCGTGGGCAATTTAATCCCGCGATTTGATTACCGAGCAGGTGGATGAGCGCGACTTATCGTCTCCTTTTATAATACTGCCATTACAACGCGCACGGAGCCGTAATGGGACGCGGAATGTGGCAACTATAAAGTATTATATTACAGCGACGTTGCTGCTGGATTTTTTTCTTCTTTCATTGCGATAGTAATACGTGTCATCTTAAAAAATCGCGACGCGGACAAGTTTTTTTCTCCGCGACGAAAAATGTTTATTCTATTTGTCTGTATGATCGAAGCACCACGTATTCTTTTTTTTTTTTTTGGATAAAATTAGAAAGATATACGTTGCGCGTGATAATTACGAGTACATATATATCCTTCGCGATTCTCCTCGCTTCTCTTTATTTTCGACCCTTATTTATGCTTCGTGAGAATAGAATATCGCAATGATCGTGCCGCCGCTTATCATCGCGAATAATCATCGCGCTTTATTTCGAGGCGCGCGTAACTAATCTGCGACTCTAAACGGCGCTGCCATAATGACCGCGGTTATAGAAGAGAGAATGGAGCTTCCATCTCACCCCGTCTCTTTCTCTCCGTTCCGATCGATATAAATTACCGCTGCTCCGTGCAAAGATCAGATCCTCATCTTCAACAGATGGAGAGGATTAGCGATATTAGCGAGAGAAATCGGCTTCGTAGTGGCGCTATCATCAGCTCCCGACTTACTTCTCTCTGTGTTTTCATTCTTTCACGTAGATCTCTTTGCGGAACGGAGAGGAAGAGCTTTCTCACATTGGGGGATATGGAAGAAAGACTGTTTCTCCGCTTTTCTCTCTCTCTCTCTCTCTCTCTCTCTCTCTCTCTCTCTCTCTCTCTCCCGTCTCTCTTTTATGTCTCTCTCCGTCGCTCTCGCGTCTTCTCACGTCTGGCCGGTACCATCTATCATTCTGTCAGCTAGGAGATTTCAATTTGCTCTCTTTTTGCGCCATTACCGGGCCCCGCAGCCCGCGCAAAATTGTATTTAATTGTGATTGACTGCTAAGTGGAGGTGGCCGGCCGCCGCCATTTGTCCCGCGATTTTTGCATATCCCTAATTGCGCGAGAGGTGCGTCGCGAGCTGAATCGCGGCCGAATGAGATTATTCCAGTCACGCGTCGTCTCGCATTCGCGGCGGGGAAAAAAGAAAGAGGGAAAAAACGCGACGCGACGATCGATCGAAGCCGAGAGAGTCGATTGTGATCCGCGGGTTGATATCCGGTATCTTTCGGATTAGAAGATCCTAATGCTCGGCTAGTAATTAGCCGCGTGACAAGATCCATCGAGAGAAGTGTAGAGAATCAGTTTGTTATCGCCGTATTTGATTACAGCCCGTAACGATCTTGCTGATGACCGCAATTAATCTGACGATAGATATAAACAGCGTCGACGTCGTAAAATATCGATAAATTCACTTGAAGTTTTTCAATTCGTCCATTTCTCACTTCTCTAATTAGCACATACGCTTTGTTACGTGTAATCTCTGCATTTAAAGCGATCGCAAGTTGAGCCACAATCTCTCATCCGAGATAATTTACAATTACAACGTACAACTATTTTAATCATTACCATTGAGCAGAGTACTAGTTACAGGTGAATATTCAGGTAACACGAGGCGAACGTAAGCGTTTGTTTCCGAAACCCGTGAAAAATCAACGTGGAGTTCGCCCTGTGGTGGAAAGAGAGGAAAATAAATGCGAAGCGCGCTGATCGTAGAATTGAATCCTTCATCTTCAGTGAGCTTCGAGCTCTAGGAACCATTTATTTTTACAAATTGCACTCTCATTTGTTTCCTCCAAAGGACGCTGTGTTCAGATTCTTACCCAAGTAAGCTCCTCGGAGCATCATGTTATTCCAGTTTAACATTCGTTGAGCGACGAGATAAAATGACAATGGGAATGGGGGGGAATCTGAGCACGGCCCTAGGTTTTTCTTGAAAAATACTAATTTTTAAAAGCCCCACATCTCTCAGGGGCTATTCATTCGCGCGCGAACTCCTTTTGGGGCGAACTCCTCAATTGATACCTATCGTCGGCTCGAAGGCATCAATGAACGTTCACGCACGTGCGAGCGCCGGAGAGATACCCTGCCCCCGCACTCTGCACGCACGCTGTATGTACGTACCTATGTACAGAATCACCTATACAGCCTCGCAATAAGTTAGACGCGCCTTGAATCAGATATTTACACGATGCCTCGTGAGGACGACAATGTACGACGGTGCCTATTTACAATTAAACTCGAGGCGAGTACGCCCCCGCCGTTTTAGCTTGGCACGACGATAGCGCGATGAGGGAAGCCTCCACGGTATTACAGTTCAACGGATCACATTTTATGCGCTCTGACCTACCCACTTGCCTTGCAGTGATATCCCGTACGTACCGGATATCGGCGACATTTCTCGTCGCTGCGATTACGCGAGAACCATTTTTTGAGAGACGATGATTTTTTTGAACGCGACATTTATCGATAATTTCGAAAATACCGATGAAGTTAGCGCGCAGAGTATTCCATCTGCTTCCCGATGTCGCGAGATATCAGTCACGATCTCGGAGGCTGTTCCTCCAGGGAGGATCCTCCGGACCGGTCGCACTTTTTCCCCCGCTCTCCGCTCCGATCCTATCACGACCGATTAGAAAAACGTCCCGGAATCCTGCAGCGATGCGCCGCGATGCCGGGATAAGTATCGGCGATGAATTACCGCGCGGCGCTAAACTTACGCGCTCGCTCGGTTAAGCTTGACGCGCGCGATTATAAAGCAGCCTTTTTACTCGCCGACCTCGTAATCGATTAGTTTTGACGTAAGCTATCGCTGCTGATGTATTAATGATGCCAAAAGATAATTCATTTGCGCATTATTTATAACATGTTGAAAATATTATATACGAAGGTTACACACGAATGTTACATTATGAATTATCATTTGAAAATCGGTAAATTAATTTGTCAAAAATGTATGTAAAATCGCATACGAGCATTGAAATTTTACAAAGATGCATACTCGAAAGATAGAAAAATTATTCTCGAAAAATGGTAACACAATGAAGGGAATTATCATGTTATCGAAATATAATTCATTTGTTATTGAAATTTATTTGATATTGAAAAACATTAAATTAATATGTTGTATAATTATTAATGTATTAGCAGAGAAAGAATGCCGACCTTTTCCAAATTTTCTTATCTATCAAATCGAGTTTGTAATGGGAAGGCTAGAAGATCTTGGCAGAGACAACGACGCCGGTATTATATTTTTCCGCTTACTGCTGCTTACATACCGTTCACGGTCGATGCCGCCGTAGTCGAGTGACTCGTTTACAAGTTAATGAAGTCTCGATTCCCAGTTCGTGCTCGTTAATTCATGCTCCCCGCGAGCGAGCGAGCTGTCTCGTTCTCGGTACCCCCCCGACAATTCGTCATTATCTGCGGACGTCTCGGAGTCTGTCGGAGGAAGGACGCGCCTCGTCGTTCCCTCGTCGAAGAATGGAGCAGCGATCTTTCCATCTCTCTGCATCTCTCGACGGAGGAAGTTGATACGAGGATTCAGGAACATCCTTCGGAATTCCACAAAGACGAGGATATCGATCCTGATTTCAGTTGATTTCGCAATAAAACTCGAAGTTTCCATCATCATCGCCTTAATCTTCTCAACAGGAAGAGCTCTCCGTGCTCGTTAGGCTTCTATGCTCTTCTATTCGATTTTATGTTTCGCGATTTTCGAGGATTCTAGGTCATCGCAGCAACACGCAAGAAGACACTGTGCTGTGAACAAGACATTGTTCTCCTTTTCGAAGGAAGAGGATCCGAATCGGACCAGGTTCGGAGTGCGTTCATTTGCGCTGCAGCAGCTCGTAAAGGGCGGCGATGTAAGTCTGCGCCATTTGCAACGTTTCGAACTTGCTGAGTTTCCTGTCATTCCCTAAACTGGGTACGACATCGCGTAGCCTGTCGAAAGCGTCGTTTAAGCTGTTCATTCTCCTTCTCTCTCTGGCATTCGCCGCCAGTCTTCTCTTCCTCAGCACCTCGACGCCAGGCGCGCTGCTCTTTATTTTCTGCACGGCTGCCTCCTTGGATTTCTGGCTAGTGTATTCCGCCGGCAAAACGACGTGAAGGCCGTCATTCCTTTGATGATACCTCGACGACTGATCGCATTTGCTTGGCTGACCGCTCGACAAGCCGGACTCGTTTCTCGGCACAGTGTAGGTGACGTAAGGGTGATTTCTCTGAGCGTAACGGTGATTCTCGTTCCGCGGATGATAGGCACCGCTCTTTGCATAGCCCTTCGTGGCAAAGACAGGCTGACTCTGACCGAAGTCGGTCCTCGAATTCGCGTACGCGCCGGCCGAAAGATGGTCCATCTTCTGAATGTACCCTGCTGGGTCCTGCTTATTTACGACGCCCTCATTGAAGGCCATCCTAGACGCAGCATCATCGTAGGTCGCGCACTGTTCATTCATCCTGAAGATCAGCTTGGCGTGAAGATCCGTGACGTTCCTCGTAACGTCACCGCTCAACGCTGGCTGATGATCGTTCCGGCAGCTACCCTCCTGATAGTAGCCCTCGTAGAAATCACCGAAATTGAAGCCGGCGGTCACGTGGAGGCTTCCATTGGGGGCACCGCCGCCGCTCTCCTGGTATTCCTGCTGGTGATGACTGTCCACAGAGCTAACGCTGCCGCAGCTGCTGCCCCTGGACCGCGGCGGCTGCGGATAGATCTCTTGGTGATGCCAATTACCGCGTGGATTCGATTCCGGGCTGCTCGCCGATCCGTAGCCCTCGGAGTCCAGGAGGTCGTATTGCTGGAAGGCCACGTAGGAGGTCATCCTAATGTGTGCACGTGTGTCGGACGATTGATCCTCGGCTACTGGCAATCTTATATCATAACGTGTTTCGGATAACGCGATAACTTTCAACCAATTGTCATCGCCCTCACTGTAGAATTTTGCGATGACTGACCGATCGATCGACGCCGATGCAAATCTCGCTAAGAATGATCTAAAGATCGAATTCAAGATGCAAGATGTAATGGGTTTTTTTTTCGCCGATGTTTGAAGCTACGTCCGTCAGCTTTTCGTCAGGCTACCGTCTGAGGATCTCCGCCGAGTATGCTTCGTGCACGGAAGCGTTCCGTAAACTGCCTTTACCTGCCGATCTCGTGGTCTGGACCATGCCGCCCGGTTTTCTTGGGGTCTACTGGTGGGGAGAACGTCGGAGACGGAGTCCTGGGCCCACGTGGAAGGGGATCGTCTCAAGTGTGGAAGGGGTCCACTGGGAAGTGGGCATCTCTTTGTAGAAGCCGCGCGACCAGACACGCCCCCCGTCTTCCTTCGTCTCCTCTTCGCTGGGGGCTCCTCTCCGGGCCCTCTAAGGAGTCAAAAGGCGATCGGAGCCTCGAAAAAAGAAAAGCCCGATCGTGTGGCACGCACCGACCGGGCGCCGCGTTCTTGACATTGGAGATCCGCGGCCGCCGGCCGAATCGAGCTGCGATCTCGCGTCTCCCCCGCGACTCTCTTCTTGCACTAATTGGATTTTATTTCTTCCCTTTCTTGCACGATACCCTCGTGACATTCTAATTTCTCCTAGAGAAAGGCAGCGTATTGTGACATCTATTTAATATCATGCATTTCACCTTAATTTTGTTCCTATTGATATACCATTATCTTTGCTATAATTAAGGACAGTAATTAGTACACTAACGAAAATTAAGAGGAAGAAATGTAAAATTTTCTTGCGTAATATGTAATGTCAAACTGACTCCCGTGACATTTTTAACTGACAATGTATCATATGTACAATAAACGCAGGTGTTATATTAATGGATACGTGGCACGTATATGGAATACAATACATTTCGCAAGATAACAGCAAAAATCATTTCCTTGCGAAACTTTCCAGGTCGTTGATGTCAAACATGAACCAGGGAAAGCGTTTGGCACGTCTAAAACCCATTAACACTCACCTGGAAATGATTTATAAATGGTATTAGTAAAACTTTCTTGATATGGGTCCTTATATTGAATTACGCTGATGCGCATAAAAATGAATGCGTCTAACTGACACTAATTGGTAGCGCAACCATTCCGCTAAAACGTAGTATTGTGGTGCGAGGAAAGGATACCGCGTAGAAATTAACGAGCGTTGACTAGAATTATTAATAGTATTAAAACACGTTTAACCATCGCTGAGTGTAAAATACTTTAGTCTTTTAAAATAGATCGTGACATAACTCGCTGTGTCATCGGTAGGTGTATGTTGGCAAAATATTTTCTCAAAGGAATGACGGAACTTTAATTGGCCCCGTGTTTCCTTATTTACCTGAAGCCGTCAGCTCCTACTTTTTCTGCAAGGCCCCTTGCCGTGCTTTACGAGACTTTAAACACGATGGGGCTGGAAAGTGTGGACAACTCTGATCGTTTTACGAGGTTTCTGAAACCCATATGCCTCTTACAAGTCTCCTTTGAACTAGTGATCGGAATGAAAAGCTTTGAGGGTAGCGAAAATCTTCTGAGAGTTTATGATTTATCATATAGATACCATTAGAAACGTTCTTATCGTTAACTTTTAATATATTGGTGATATTGGTGAATGAAATTTAAATTCTATGTAACTGGAAAGTCTATTAATGTATATAATATTAACGAGATTTAAGTTTATAGTAATTGAAAAATTAAGTGCACTGAAATTTACTATACTTTTCATTTACGGATATGAATGACATTTTAATTAACCGTAATTGAAATAACCAGTATATGTCAAACTCAATATAAGCTTTTAATAACTTAAAAGTTAAGGGTTGATCGACATATATTAATAATCTTTTCACACAGTTAGAGAATCAAAATTTTATTCACCAGTGTATATTAAAAGTTAAGAAAAATTTAAGAACATTTTTAACAGTAATACTTTAAAGTAAATATTGTGAAACATATTTTAATTGTTACTAACATTAATCAAATTTCATAAAATTAATAACGTTTCACGAGACTGTTAATTTGCAGTGAGAAGTTTTGTAAGGCGTGTTTACGTGCTTGGTGAATAATATAAATGCATAACGTGAATGACGTCTTTTGACGTCCTCACTGCAAATTCGATTTCGCAATTATCGATAATCGCGCTAGGTATATTGTAATGCACTTTAGTGTGTTTATAACACTAATTAAGCGCACTGTGTCAAATGCATGCCATAGGTAGTGTTACAATAACATCTCTATTGACGGTTCCTATTCGAAGAGTCTATTTTTGTGACATTGGTGTGTAGTCACAGTTCTTGACATTTCGTTTAGAGCCGCGAGATCGATCTTGGATCGCCATAATGCAATGAGCAAATGACTCGCACATGCTAATGACTACGTCAATAATCGAAGTTTATGTTTGGGCTTTATTTAAAACCGTGATATAATACGAACTACAAATTTATTGTACTCTATATCGCGACGCTTAAATAAACGCGAGAACATACACGGTTAAAAATGTCATGAAATTTAATATACTTAGTTGCACAATTTGAATCTAATTTCATGACGTTACATTAAATTTTATGTATTTATAACTGAAAAGTATATTTGTGTACATGTACGAGTACATGAAATTTAATGTACTTTTCATAAAATCTAATGAAATGTATGTTAAATTTCATAAATTTAATGTACACGTTCATTACGTTTAAGTAACTACTCTCTGTAACTTAATTTTCAGTTAAATCATTCATTACTTTTAATTTTGTTTACAACCACGAGCTTTATTTACATATAAAGAAAGCTCGTGGTTACATTTTTAACAATGTATGTACTTTAACCCGTCCGTTTTTTAAGAAGAAACAGAGCTCTATTCCACTTCTTCCGAAAGAGAAACTCGGGTAACTACGGAGACTCCCGTAGGCGTATCTCCATTCGTTTTCCTTCGTTTGTCGGGGATTTGAAGTCATTCTCGCAAAAGGCGGCGGCTTCAAGAAGTTCATTATCCTCCACTAATACACACCAAATGAGCCGATCGCGCTCGTTCGGCCCACCGAGGAAAAGGAACGTTCGCGTCCCGATGAATCCGAAGGGTTTTTCACGCCCACTGGCGGATTTTAATTTACCGAAAACGCTCTTTGCGGCTTGCGCAACAAGCTGTGAATCTTGGGGAAAATGTTAGATTAGCTTCCAATCCTGACTTTAATTTCTTAAGATTGTAAACTTGGCAGATAATCTAATTTCTTCAATAAGGCGACACGAATTGAGAAGAAAATTAGTCTGTGTATCTTAATTTAAAAAATCAAACACAATCATTAATATAATTAATTATTATTCGATATATGAATTGTTATATTTTTGAATAAGAACACACAGAAAAAATGATTTCGCTGCGGAAGTATCTACAAATTTAGTAGAATGTTTAGATAAATAATTATGTATAAAATTCAAGCATTTGCTGCAAAAAGTTTTGACATTCTAGCAAAAATCAGTTTACCTAACATCTCACATAATTGTTTTGATCGTTTAACGAAATTATTTTCGAATCTGCATTTAGCTAAATTTTTAGATACTTTAGCAAATCATTCTTTCCGTGTAGATAGCATAGGTTGAGATACGAGAACGGAAATAAATCATCAAAATGATACGTTCTCATTATTAAAATGCGAGTACGTTAAAGTAATAATAACATTTACAAAATCGCATAATTACACGAAAAGGATGGTTTTGGATCTAAAAATTTAGCTAGATTCTGAAAAGAATTTTGTTGGACCATCAAAACAATTGCATAGGACGGGAGATCGATCGTCAAAAAACTTTTTGCAGCATTGCTCATCATGTTTGATGATTTTTATGTAATCAGTTTGATTACCCAACAAAATTATTTTTAGGTCGGTATCCTAGCTAAATGTTTAGATACTTCAGCAAAATCATTTTTTTCGTGTACTTACATTCACTATTCACACGGTGAATAGCTCTTAGCCATAAGGTGAGGTCCTCGCAATCGAGCTGTACCATTACGTAATTATATAACAAAGACTAATGAGAGTCCCGATGATTTCGCGTCTAACAAAACCGCGCGTGATTGCACTGGTCGCAGGATCATCAATCGATCGATCCATCGACACCATCGCGTTGTCCATCAGCGCGATATTAACGTCTCCCGCGAGGTAGGCGACAAATACATGCGTCGGAGACGTTAATCTCAGGTGTACGTGAGGATCGTGTGATCTAGGGACTTATTTATAGATCTTTGCACATACGATCGAGTCAGGATCGGACCGAGTGGAAAAGACGCGAGGAAGATCTAGCCTTATTTTTTAAGACGAATCGCGTCGATATCGGCGTGTGCAACGCGGGCGAAATGCCTGCTGCGTGGATAAAATTCTTTTCGGTTGCTTTCGCAACATCAGAACGCAATCGTTCTCCCTTCTTTCTCCTTGCTCGTGGACAGAGTAAGATCTCTCATCCTTCCCATCCGATCCTGGATCGATTCGCCGCACAGGCACCTGATGCGGTGGCGGCGGTGGCGGCAGCGGCTGCGGCTAATAACAAATTTATTGCGGCCGATGAAGTGCATAAATTGATTATTACTAGCCGGCAACGCATCTCGCCGCTGTGAGTTCCAGTTCAGACAATCACCGATGATTTACAACATAATGGCGCGCGTTTGACTGACGCGGGCTTACTCGCGCGACTATTCGCGCGTACACGCGGCTTGATGCGTTTGCGGCATCGGCCGTACATGCGTACGGTTACCCGCCTGCGGCCGCGAGGTACAACCTCGATTCCGAAGGTGCACACGGTTTCCTCCGCTCCCGGATCCCGAAGATGCAACGTCGTTGTCGTTTGCACGAGAATATGCCTAGAGTGACTTATAATTCGTTCAGGAACGATCCCTTCGATGCGAATCTATGAAATCAAAT